CGGCAGGGCCTGAGTGCAGGAGTCTCAAGGCTGGGGATCCAAAGCAGGAGCTCTGCACCCAGCACCGCTCTGGGGCAGTGCTGGCCCTGCTGGGCGGATATAGCCGGGAGCACCTCACGCCTCACAATGGGGCCAGGCCCGGGAGCCAGCGTCCCCATTGTGACGTGGGGCAGTCCCTGCCACTGGGGGGGGTTGCTCCAATGCGGGGAAAGCTTCAGGCCCGATGTGTTGCCTTGGAAACAGCAGTGTCACTTCCAAGGGACACCGGGAATTGTCGATGTGACAGCCAGACCCTGCGGTGAACTGCTGGGCACCTCCTTCTGCATTTGGGTGGCAACGGGCTCCAACTGGAGAGAGTCAAAAAGCACTGCGTATGCGCAGCTGGAGGAGTTTATGGAAATACAAATTGTCATACAAAGCGGGACAGGTTATGAATATGTGTAGGGGCTGTCATGAATACGTAGCCACAATGCTATATAGGTGTGAAGGACGGGCGGCTGCGGCGTGCACAACTTTGGCGGGCAGCCCCGTGGCACGCAGCGCTGAAGGAACATACCCACTTTACAACCCTAAAGGGCTCCCTGCTTGTCAGCGGCTCCCCTGCGGGCGAGGGGCTGCGCCTGGAGGCAGCGGGACAGGGAGCTGCGGAGAGGCACGGGCGCCAGCCCCAGTGCTCCCTCACTTGCACGGCGGCAGCAGCAGGCTCCGGCGGGCTCCCCCCATTGCCCACCTGCCCCCGGCCTTTGTGCGCTGCGGCAGGCACGGGTTGGCACTGCGCCCGCCGAGATGCGCGCTGCGGGGCGGCGGGGGGTCCGCTCCTCCCGGTGAGAGGCGGGGGGAAACCCAGGCTCTGCCCCGCGGGTTTTACACCCCCAACAACGGTCTGTTAAGAGAGAACGATTCAGACCTCACACGCGTGTCGTGAACCCTCCTCAGCAGTCAACCATTGTGCTGAGGCTGGAGAACCTCCATGTATTTTATTGCCCCGAGGAAACTGGGGATGTTCATTGCTGCAAGTTATGCAGGTGGCAGAGGTCACACTCGGGGTCTGTTCCTTTCTGCTGCGGGCGATGATTTTTCCTGTGCTGATCCCTGCCTCGCATCGTGCTGAACACCACGGGCGCAGTGGATCCCAACGCCCTGCGTCCAGCAGGCAGCAGCCGTGGGGTGTTCTGAGCAGCCAGGGACTTGCAGCATCCTGCTCCATGGACAGGGACTGTTGCTCCAGATCTCAGGCACTCAGGAGCCAGAGGAAAAATCTTCATCCACTGGCCTTATGGCAGGGAGTGATACGGATCCGATTGTCATCGCGCTGAAATGAGAGCGAGGACGTAGCAGCAAGGGCAGAACAGCAAGTACATAATAAGCCAGGAAACAGCGGCCAAGAAAACAACAGAAAGTAAACGGCATCCAAGGAGAGTCTCATGAGCTCCTACATGGCCCAAGAGCTGAACTCGGGTGCTGGCATCGCCACCATCACACTTACGTTGTCTCCTCCTGCTCAGAAATGTCCTCCTCTTCAGAGGTCTCGCAATGCAAGATCGGAGGCAGGGACCTGAGGGCTTCTGCTATACTGACAGGCTGTGTTGCTGCAGATCTCAGGTTCGCAGGAGGCAGAGCCGCAAGTTCAGACCTCTGCCTTACGTGACGGGGTGATGGCCGGGATGTGACGGTGGACGTGCTGAAATGAGAGCGAGGACGTAGCAGCAAGGGCAGAACAGCAAGTACATAATAAGCCAGGAAGTAATGGCCACGAAAACAACAGAAAGGAAACGGCATCCAAGGAGAGTCTCATGAGCTCCTACATGGCCCAAGAGCTGAACTCGGGTGCTGGCATCGCCACCACCACACTTACGTTGTCTCCTCCTTCTCAGAAGAGTTCTCCTCTTCAGAGGTCTCCCAATGCAAGATCGGAGGCAGGGACCTGAGGCCTTCTGCTATACTGACAGGGCATTTTGCTCCAGACCTCAGGTTCGCAGGAGGCAAAGGCACAAGTTCAGACCTCTGCCTTACGTGACGGGGTGATGGCCGGGATGTGACGGTGGACGTGCTGAAATGAGAGCGAGGACGTAGCAGCACTGGCAGAACAGCAAGTACATAATAAGCCAGGAAGTAATAGCCACGAAAACAACAGAAAGGAAACGGCATGCAAGATCTCATGAGCTCCTACATGGCCCAAGAGCTGAACTCGGGTGCTGGCATCGCCACCATCACACTTACGTTGTCTCCTCTTTCTCAGAAGAGTTCTCATCTTCAGAGGTCTCCCAGTGCAAGATCGGAGGCAGGGACCTGAGGGCTTCTGCTATACTGACAGGGTGTGTTACTCCAGATCTCAGGTTCGGAGGAGGCAAAGGCACAAGTTCAATCCAATGCGTTAGGTCAGGGGATGGTGGTCGGGTTGTGAAGACGAGCGTGCTGAAATGAGAGTGAGGACGTAGCAGCACTGGCAGAACAGCAAGTACATAATAAGCCAGGAAACAGCGGCCAAGAAAACAACAGAAAGGAAACAGCATCCAAGGAGAGTCTCATGAGCTCCTACATGGCCCAAGAGCTGAACTCGGGTGCTGGCATCGCCACCATCACACTTACATTGTCTCATACTCCCCAGAAGATTCTGTCTCTTCAGAGCTCTCCCCATTGTTGAGCGGGGCCGGAGCCGCCTCCTGACAGGTCTCGAGGGGCTGGTGCACGTTCTGCAGACGCTGGGGTTCCGACTGGAGCGACTCCTGAGAGGGCTGGGAGGGCAGGGGTTGGAGCGAGGAGCGGGCAGACGGGAGGGGCTGGTGCACGTTCTGCAGATGCTGGGGTTCTGACTGGAGCGACTCCTGAGAGGGCTGGGAGGGCAGGGGTTGGAGCGGTGAGATGCAGGCACGGGGCAGGGAGCGGGCAGACGGGAGGAGCTGGCGCCTGCTCCTGCCCTTACCTCTTCCTCGTCCCTGGCCACGTCCTTGCTCCTTCTGCACCCCTTGGGCTGCAGGTCCTGAAAGCGCCTGGAGACAAGCGGGATAAAGGGGACGAGAAGCCAAGGATGAGCTCCTCTGGTGCTGGAGGAGACGGGGGGGCACTGGGCAGGGCTGGGCGCTGCCAGAGCAGAGCCTGTTTGGGGCAGGGCAGGAGTTACCGTTGCAGGTGCAATGTGCTGCTGCCTTGGGAATCCTGGGCAGGTTTCTTGGCGCAGACCTGGTGATGGAGAGACAGAGACTCAGACCGCGGGGGTTCCTCCTGGAACACTGCAGCACGGTGAGCCGGAAGGTTCTTCCTCCAGCCCAGCCCCTTCTACACCCGTGCAAGGCTGTGTCAGCAGGCACGCCTTCAGGAAGAGCCCCCCCATGCCTCCCCGCCCAGCTCCCAGCTGCTCCCTGCCTCTGGAATGACCCAGAACTCCTCATCTCAGCCTTGCTGATGTCTGCCTTTCTCTGCAGGGTCCCCCTGCCCTTCAACCGCTGCCCGCAACACGCACGATGGCCTCTAAAGACATGAAAGCTCATTTGTCTCTTTGGAGGAGAAGGGCCCCAAAGGGAGGTTCAAACACTGTGAGCACGATGGTGCCCCGAGCCACCGGAGCAGCGGCACCATGCAGAAGGGCTGGGTGTGGGCTCAGGGCAGGGAGCAGGGGCATTGCAGCATGGCTGGAAGCAGCGGGCATTGCAGCAGAGCAAGGCCAGGACAGGAGCTGGGGAGGGGATGCTTGGGGTGAGGGACTGCGGGATAGAGCCCGGGAAGGGCTGATGGCAGAGGCTGTGATGAGAGGGGGCCGCAGCCCTGCTCAAGGAAGGAGCTGCTTGCTGGGAAGCTGCCCAGCAGAGCTGGGGACAGACCCTGGCAGGAGCCAGGACAAGCTGCTCCCAGCAGCTCTGAACCCCTCCGAGCCCCAGGGTGCGGGTACCACAACGAGCTCAAGCCTGGGAGAACATCTCCTGTGCTCCCCAGCACATCCACAGGCATCCGCAGCAGCACCCGGGGCCCATGAGCACTGTGGGAGCACCGAGCCCCAGGGCTTGGCTGGCAGCGCTCTGCCACATGAGTCCTTGGCTCACCTTGAAGCAGCACAGCACCAGAATTGTAATAGATGTGATGATGGCGGACATCGAGAGCGCCAGCAGCCACTTGCGACCAGAGGTGGGCTTGGCCATCTGCTGGGAGAAAAGGAGGGCGCATTAGGGTGGAGAGGAGAGGAAACGGAGGCCCCTTCCATTCCCACTGTGCACACACACGCAGCAGTGCCCTGCTCTCTCGTACCATCTCTGCAGACTCCCTGTCCATGGCCTTGGGCTGGGCACGGGGATGCGAGGTGCCTGCATCCTCCTCCCGCACACACTGCTCCAGGAGGTCCGAGGGCTCCGGGTCGCGCTGCCTCTCGCTCAGCAGCTTCAGGAGCAGCTCCAGCCTCGAGAGCATGCTGGTGCAGGCCGGCTGGAACTGGGGCAGGCCACAGTCCCCATGCAGGGCTCGAGCCACGTGCGCAATGAACCCCTGCAGGTCTTGGTCTGGCACCAGTGGGTGCCGGTGGCGGCTGGGCAAGGAGTCAAAGAGGGCTCCTGGTGTGGCCACGCTGCCCGGGTCGCTGGAGCTGCCGGGTGCTGTTGGGAGAGGCGGTTCCTGCTCCTTGTGCTGCCCGTGCGTGGTGGTGCTTGCAGGGGCGCTGGGTGGGCTCCCGCCCCGAGGGGAACTGTTGTCAGCCAACAGAGCATCGAAGAAACGCTGGAGACTGCTCAGTTTCTGCTCTGCTCCACCCTCTGCTGCTGGGAGCTCTTCCTCTGCACCCTTGCTGCCCGCTGTCCTGTCCCTGCCCTTCAGCTTCTGCTCCTTGCCGGTGCCAGCAGAGTCCAGAGCTGGAGCTGGTGCTTCCTGCGGGACTTCTGCCCCCTCCTCATCCTCCATCCCATGAGCCGTGTTGGTTTGTTGGAGGGCATTGGAGTGGCTGTGACTCCAACCAGCCTGGGTCAGATGCAGGGCCTCTGTTGGGTTTGATGGAGGGAGCTGTGCTGCAGGACGTGCTCGCTGGTGGCCGGAGACAGGCAGGATGTCACTGATGTCCACCCTCCGGGCTGCTTCCCAAAGGATGGATTCTGCCCGGGTCAAGTGCGAGCCAGGCTCACGCTGTTCCCAGCCTGTGGCTCTTCCTCCCTGCCCTGCTGGCATCTCCTGCCCCTCGTCGCTCTGCGCTGGTTGGGCTGTGCTGGGGCTTTTCACCGTCAGGATGCTCACGGGCTTGTGCAGCTAGGTCTTGAGCTGTGCCACGAGCCCCTCTGCTAGAAAATAGAACCTCCCGGTGTCAGTGGAGCTGCTCCAGCCCCTGTGCTGAACGCTCTGCAGCATCCGCACCAGCTCCTTGGCGGTGCCGCTCTCCTGGCTCGAGAGCTGCTGAGGGGAAGGTGCCGACGCATCGGGGCTGCTCAGGCTCAGGACAACCGTGAGCGTGACTGTTCTCTGCTCCCTGAGCGAGGGCTCCTTGGGCCGGATCTCCAACGTGGAGCTGCTGTTCCCCTCCCTGGGTGGCACGGCTCCCGTCAGGGGCCCTGGTGTCTCTGCCAGGGGAGCTGTAACACAGCGAGAGCACATGAGGGACAAGCAGCTTTCTGGCAGACGCAGGCTCAGAGGGTTCGCTCTGGCTGGGGGCACGGGCAGGGCCGTGGGGCAGTTACCGCAGCGGGGAGCACTGGTGCTGCACACGCTCGTGCAGTCGAAGCTGAGGGTCCTGCACGGGGTCTCGGTGCTGTGCTTGTGCTGGCAGAGGCAGCAGGCCGTGTCGTTGGACAGCTTGCTAAAGAACAGAGGTGTGCACAAACACTCAGCATCGCCACCCGGGGCAGCGACTCCAGCCCAGGCGGAACACAGAAACACGTCAGGGGTCTGCTTCAGTCTCTGCTGCGGCTCTGGGAAACCTCCCCTCACCCCCAGTGTCCCAGTGGACAGCTCTGTGGTGCTGGGTTCGCTCCCCACGCAGACCCCTGGGATCTGCTGGCGGTGGGACCCGGCCCCTGCACTCACAGTGTTTCCAAGCGGGATGTCCTCAGGAGCAGCATGAGCAGCGTCTGCCGAGTCACTCGTGTGGCACCCAGGTCCCTGCAAGGGTTTCAGCAAACACAGCACATGTGAGGTGGCGGCACCAGCCTCTGCTCCGGGAACAAGCCCAGTCCCTGGTGCTTGCGGTGCTGGCCGCAGGGGGATCTGCTGCCACCTAATCCAGGAGAAATGATGGAACCCCCTCTCTCCTTCCTGCTGTGCCCTGCTCCCAGCCATGGCTCTGAACCAGGAGGGATCCTGCAGATCCCGTGGGAGACGGATGCAGACAAGTTCAAGTCCGTGTCCCAGCTCCTTGCTCCCTTTGCTGCTGGGACACAGCAGAACCGCTCAGCCTTTGCCTGGCTCTGCCGCTGCCTCCAGCAGGAGAAGGCTGGGAGGAAGCTGGGATTTGCTGCTGGATCTCTGCTTTCCTGGCCACGGGGCACCCAGAGACACAAAGAGCGAGCCATGGTAGCCTGTTAGCAAGGAGTCCGTACTTACAGGTGCATGACTGAAGGCAGCCTGAAGAACCACGTGTCCTCGACAACAGACAGGGGGTTATGGGCCAGGACCCTGAAACGAACCAACACCCATGTGAGCGGGGGTGCAGGATGGGAGCGGTGGCAGGGGCTCAGTGCTACGTGTGTGAGGAGGCTCTGGGGTGAAGGTTCCAGGCCGGGGCAGATGCTGATGGGCAGATTCACAACATGCACCAGGTCCTGACTCTCTCCAGCCCAGAGAGCAAGAGCCCAGAAGTGCTGCTGCTGGCAAACACACCACCTCTTTCTTTCCTCCTCAGCTCCCACCTGCTGGTGGCTTCCCTCCACCAGGACCTTCCCTATTTTCTCACATTCCCACTGTCCATGAGCTTTGTCTCTGGTCCTGCACCCAGCCAGGCAAAGCCGTGGCCTGACAGAGCTGTCAGTCAGCACTGATGCTGCTGCCTGTGTGGGGTAAGAGGTGAGCAGAGCACAGGGACAAGCGCCACTGCTCTGAGCTACCCTTAGCCCTTGGAACACTCACAGTGTCTGGAGGAACTGCAGCCCGTGCCATGCCCGGAACGTGTCGCTCCGGATCTCGGTGAGGAGATTTCCCTCCAGGTTTCTGGGGAAACAGGAGAGCACAGAAATGAACTGGGTCTGACCCCCAGGAAGCTGGAGTGAAGCAGCTCTGATCTGTAGGAACAGCCCCATCCAAGGTGGAACTGGGAGGAAGCTGCCATTTTCTCTCCTGCTGTTTGTTAACCTGTCTGGCAGAGACGAAGGGCACGTGTGCTGCCTCTCTGCCTGCTCAGGGCCACAGCAAGCCCCCAGACCTGGCTTCTGCTCTGGCTGTGTTTGCACAAGCCATGGCCCCACCGTGCTGTAGCCACCAGCCATGGCCCCACCGTGCCGTAGCCACCAGCCATGGCCCCACCGTGCCGTAGCCACCAGCCATGGCCCCACCGTGCCGTAGCCACCAGCCATGGCCCCACCGTGCTGTAGCCACCAGCCATGGCCCCACCGTGCCGTAGCCACCAGCCATGGCCCCACCGTGCCGTAGCCACCAGCCATGGCCCCACCGTGCTGTAGCCACCAGCCATGGCCCCACCGTGCCGTAGCCACCAGCCACACCCTGAGCTCCTGGGCTCGGCTGCTCCTGCAGCAGCAGAAATCGGAGCCCTTGTTCTAGAAGTAACGGGAGCTTTCTCCAGCAGCAGCAGGTTCTAAATGCAAACGGGCTTCCCTGAGCACACCAGTGAGAAGGCTCCAAGTGAAGGGAGTCAATTCCTTCTCCAACCTCGCACACCCTCAGAACGCTGCAGGGTGCCAGAGCACCCCTTGGACCCTGTTCAGCCCCAGAACACGCTGTATTGGAGAAAGGATGCAGCCATGCACCCAGCACCTCACTGACACCGCCGTGCTTTGCTTATAGGGCCTCCAGGCACAGCTTGGGTTTGCTCTGAAGAGCACAGCAGGGCTCCAGAAGGCAGAAGTCCATCAACTCCCAGGACAACCCAACAGTTTTATTGGTCTAGAATGTCCATTCTAAACCTAAAGTCAAATCTTTTTGTCTAATCTGAACGTACTGTCCAGTCTAAACCTAATGTTGAATCTGAACCTAATGTGAAATCAGAATTCAGGTTAAAACGAGTGCTGTTTTGTACAGGAGAAATGATGGAACCCCCTCTCTCCTTCCTGCTGTGTCCTGCTCCCAGCCATGGCTCTGAACCAGGAGGGATCCTTCAGATCCCACGGCAGCCGGATACAGACGAGTTCAAGTCCGTGCCCCGGCTCCTTGCTGCCTTTGCAGAGCTGCTCAGCACGGGACGAGCGCGGCGCGGTACGGGCCCTGCTCTGCTCTGCTGCACGCTCCCGCGGAGCGGAGCTGCTGCAGAGAGTGCCCTCTCCATAGAACCGCTGTGAGCATCCCCCCTTCTAGGTGGGGCTCTGCTTCCCACCACGAGCGATCCCAGCACAGCAAACAGGCACCAGAGTGTGTTTGCTCTTCACCCTCACTCCCATCACAGATCTTCTGAAGCAAATCACTCCTTTCCTCTCTCGTTTTGGTACATTACACAGGTCCCTCTGCTCTCAGTCCAAGGGGGATCTGAAAACATTCCTGTGGCTGTGCCCTGAGCTCTCCCAGTTTCCCATCAGAGAGGTCGAACAATCTGAGCAGGGGTCTGCTATCCTTGTGATTTGGGGAGCTCGATGCCCCTTTCCCATCGCTTCTGCTGCCCCTGAGGTGCATTCACCGTTCAGGGTTACAAGATTTGTCTTAATTTGGTGAAAAACATGTTTGAAATGAGAAAGAATCTTGGCTTTACATAGTGATAATGTCCCAGTTACTTAAAGTTGGGGCTTAACACGTTACTACAAGACTTGGCCTTGTTTCTTCTAGAGGTTACTTCACCTAGAGAAATCCTTCTTTCTGTGCTGTGTGCTGGAAATACCACAGCTACTCTGCTGCCTCCAGCTTTCTCCTGCACACTGGGGCTACCTGGGCTGTATGGAGCCTCTTGCAGGGAGGATTTGCTCCTTGTAATTCTTCTGTAAGTGCTCTGCACATCTCTTCTGCTGTCTCAGTAATAACCATGCAGCTAAGCTGGCTTCCAGATATAGCTGACTTGGATAAGTTGACAGGAAAACACTTCCTTTCTGAGAACTCCATGTGTTTTGGGGCTTAATTTTAGTACCACCAGATTTATTGCCCATTTCTTTCACTGTTACTTGGAGAAGTTGAAAACTGCCAATGACACATAGATTAGTTCTCAACATTAGACTTTGATTACTAATCACACACTGCAGGACTTTGGGAATGTGAGGTATATAGGAATGATTCATGTCAGAAACTTAGGAGTCCTTGTCATCATTGCACTTTGGGAGGAATCGAAAATCGTGTAGAATGTATAGGAATGATCAGATTATGATGGAAGTTCCTGTCAATACAATGATGAAAGAAAAGAAGGAACAAAGGAATAATCCTTCCTAATCAATGTCTTTGTTACTTTAAGGGGTACTTTGTTTAACTACTTGAATGTCTCAAATGTTTTGCTAATTACAGAGGGTGTTTTGTTTAAGTGCTTGAATGCCTTAAGGGGGTTAGGTAATCAAGGGATTAACTCTGTTAAGGGATGAGGTGAAACTTGTGTATTCAATATGTAACTATATAAGAAATGGAATTGAGGGGCTAAGATGGTGGTTAAGCTTGTGACAGACATTCCCTGTTAATGCATTGCCAAGGAATTCAATGACTTTTTAAGAAGTTTCATCACCCGAAGATAAGATCCCAGCAACAGGAGGAGAACAATGAAAAAGAACCACATCGATATTCGGGTGAAGGAGACGACAGGATTGGTTGAAACCCAAGATCGAGGAGTAGAAGAGACTGTACCCCAGAATTCTCGGTGTGCGTCTTGGGTGGAGCGGAGACTCCCCGGCGCACCCAGCGCTGCTCACTCATTGCCTCTCGATATTAATCAATTGTAATAAAAAATTAATTAAATCAGATCATGGCCAAGACGGAATTTTTATAACAGGAAGACAAAGCTCCACTCATTAGACGGCATTTCCTGGCTCAGCATCAAAACTGAGATCAGACAAAACTTCTTCTTCAAGGTCAAACTGCTCCAAGGAGAATTCATTGACCTGAGAAGAGAAATCTGGAGTCAATTTCTTGCTCTACAGCGTATGTGAACTTCACCTCCTTGCACCTGCAAACAGGGTGGTTTTGAGACAGCCTCCCCAGACTTTACCAACTCCGGAATATTCCCACTTTGGAATGGCTGAGATCACAAAGCAGTGAACCAAGAGGACACCCAGCAGCTCCCCCCTCAAGCAAGTCCTGAATTCCCGTCTGCTCCTCTCCCTGTCAGGTCGGAAGGTGCCTTGTGGAGAGAGCATGTAGAATCCCCTCCCACACCCCATCCCAAGGGAAGTGAGACAGCAGGGGAGCTGAGGGATGGCTCTTGTGCCAAAGCAGAGCTCTGAGAAGCAGCAGGCTTTCTGTTTGACTTCCCTGCTCACTTCTCTTGCGGTCAGCACGTGTTAGGTCAGCTCTCTGGGGGTTTAAAAGAGGTCAGTCAGATAGAAGGGGCTGTACAGAGTGTGCTTCTCGCTTCCCTCTAGCATTTAAAATACACCTGCATTTCTCCACAGTGCACAAAGGAGTTTTAAATCCTTAAGGTGCTGTACGACTCCAAGATGTAATTAGATCCTGGGATTTAAGTGGAGGTGATTGCTGCACAGGGGGATGGCGGCAGTTGTAACAGTCAACAGCTCCATCTCCAGTCCCCAGAGGTAACGTACAGGCCCTGCACAAAAGCTGAACACCCCCTGTTCCCACCTGCACAAGCCCCTTCTGCTCCTCTCCTGTTAAGCAGTCTGTGCTTACAGTTCCTGGGAGGAACTGTACTCCACGGCCACTTTCCCATTCCATCCCATGAAACAGAACCAGCAGCAGAGCCACAGTGAGTTACTACCGTGTGTAATGCCAAGAAACCAGCCTGAAACTCCAGATGGGATAATTCTGCTTCACAGTGGCTTTCAGAGAGAGCGGCTGGTCTGAACCACTGTGCTGCTTCCTCTGGCCTTTCTCCTTCTTCACAGCAAACCAAATGGCTCTTACTAAATGCAGTGGAAACTGAAACTGAGGAAGCAGAAACCCATGGAGAGATGGAGCACACTGTCAGTCCCTGTTCATGTGATGGATCAGAGGGCAGGAAGCACTGCAAAACATCTGAACCCAGAAACCCACCTTTCACATGAACACCTTAATGAAGCCAGGGGAGGAACCTGGCAAATGAAAGTCTGTGGAATGAGGACAGTGGCACTGATCCGATCCCATGAGGATCTGTCATGATAAGCATAAAAGAGTGAAGTACTCGGATACCACATAAACAGGCATCATCTAAAAGCTCAGAGAGCACAGCACGTGGAACCCAGAGGAAGCAGGACTAGCAGTTCCTGGGCAGGTTCAAATCCAGCTCCTACAATTAGAGACTCAAAGGAGACAGTAGCCCCAAAGAAGCATCACTGAACACAGCCGTAGGGCACAGACCTTTGCTGGCACCTGGCTGGCTTGGAACTGGGACAGGAATGTGCAAAGTGCTGCAGTTCAGTTCACGTCACCCCTGGAAGCAGAACTTCCTCATATCCTTATGTGGCATGCACATGTACCGTTCAAGAGCTCTCCCTGACAGCATTTACACCCTTGGAATTTGGAATTTCAGTGACTATCATCAAAAAACCTGACCTCTTGTGGACCTTCCTCTTGCTCACACAGCTCATAGGGTGGAACCACTCTGTTAAATCATTACAGACCACACACAGGCTTCATTCTGCTCGAGACCCCCCCAAGTCTCAATGAATCCCAAGAGAAGTGCAGAGAAAACAGATTTGTATCAATATCATGAAAGTTATCAGCAAAACCACCCCAGTGTTTAATACAAACCTAAGCCTTACCTAAGACAATGAGGAATATCTTCTGAAAGGCACTAGCCAAAGCTCTCCCAGCTGCAAGTTTCTGAACTCTTCTTGTTGCTGTGAGCAACTTGAGAGAATCTGAACACAACAAGCAGCACGGTATTGATATTAATGATGCTCTGCATAGGAAGCACACCAGCTACATTTTGCTAACCAGCTTCACGATCTGGTAAGAAAGCTGGTTATGGTTTGGGAGTCGCCAGCAGCACCCTCACAGGGGTTTCATGTGCCAGGCCATGACAGCACATGAGCCTTCAGGCCTGTGCCAGGAGCCTGCCCAGGGCAGGAGGCAGCACAGACACAGGCACAAAAGTGGCTCTGATGAGGAATGATAACACTGCAGGCAAAAGGGAGAGAACAGAGCATAGGAAAGTGATGCCAGTGTGAGTCAGGGAGGGAAGAGGCATGTTCAAGATCCCTTGCTGCATAGCACAGCAGCTCAGACCCTTGCCTCCCACTGAATTCAGACCCACAAACTGCACAGGCAAGATTGCTCAGTGCCTGTGATGGCTGCTGAGAGAGACTTCCAGCTGCACCCAGAGCATACCTGCACTGTTCTCTACGTCTGCCTCGGCCAGGGTGACTCCCCTGGTGTGCACCCCGTGTTCGGGCAGCGTCACCTCCACACACACAGGTATTTCACAGGTAATGTCCTTCCCAGGTCCTCATTCTCTCCACCAAAGCCAGATACATTCTGCAGCTGTTGGGAAGCCCACAGAGAATTCATTTGGATTAGATTAGAGGGGATATTAGGAACACTTAGGGCTATGCCTGTATACTACACACCTCTGCACAGCATGGGAGTCCAAGGCAGAAGCTGTGCATGGAAGCAGAGCAGAAGCCAAGGCAACTGCCTTCTCTCCCCATGCTTTCAAAATACCCCATTGGTGGTCTGAAATACAGCTCCTGTAACTGTCTCTTATTCCTGATTTGAGGACAATTCTTCTCATTCCACCAACCAGTGTAATTGAGAAGAGGAGGAGGGGAAGGATGATGGGTGAATATAAAGGGCTCCTTACTGTGATGATGTGACTGGACCAGCCGTTAAAGCCAAGGTAGTGGGTGGCCAACTCCTGGCACTTGTTGCTGCTGAGAGCGAGGACTTTTTGCTGAAACCCCTTCTGCTTGGTGCAAACACAAACCTGTGCAGGAAAGAAGAATCCTGCTTAGCCAGGCTCTGCTGTAAGGTTCCCACTATGATACCACTGATTGCTCTGGGAGAAACATCCGAAAGTAACCTAGTTCTTGACCACAAAGAATCCCAGCCTGGTTTGGGTTGGAAGGGACCTTAAAGCTCTTCCACCTCCAAGCCCTGCCATAGGCAGGGACCCCTTCCACTGGAGCAGCTTGCTCCAAGCCCCTGTGTCCAACTTGAACACTGCCAGGGATGGGGCAGCCACAGCTCCTCTGAGCACTCTGTGCCAGCGCCTCAGCACCCTCTCAGTAAAGGTGAGGGTGATCGTGAAACATTCTTATCACAAGTGTCAAGTATCTGTTACCCAAAAACAGGCGCTGAAGATTATGCCAGAGGAGGGATGCTGCCATTTTACTGTTTGAATGCTACCTGGGAGCCGGGGGGGGGGGGGGTGGGGGGGTGGTGGAATCTCCATGGTGGGAGCACCCAGCCACAAGTCAGTAAACCTTTTGCACGGGAAGCATCACTGACACCACTGAGTGTTCCATGTGATTCCACCCTGCTGCTGGAGGTGCAAGTCCTGCAGGTTTCACTTGTGTGTTCTGCTTACCTTCAAGGGGGACTTCTGAAACAGCTTTGCCCGTTGCACGCGTGCTGGGCTCTGCTGGCATCTCCAGCTGAATAGAACTTGATAACAGCGCAATAGCCAGGCCCTGCCACGGCTGCGTTCCTGTGCGCTCGCACTGAGTAGAGCGGCCCGAACCTGGAAAACGCTGAGAACAGGGAATGCTGAGGAAAAGAAAGAGAGAAAAAAAGGGCTTTTGAAATCTCTCTGGGTGCCCGAAGAGCTGAGCCACAGGAGACTGCTCACAAGGCCCAGTTACCTAGAAAATGAGGGAAGGTTTCAGTACTGTGTAACAGGAATAAACCCTGGAACAACCACTGAAGCTGTGCATCTCCCCACAACAATAAGCTCAACTTTTCTGGATCTCTGCCCTTTTCTCCAATATCCTCCAGCCTCCGCACTGGGGGCAGAGCCAAGTTGGACATGAGGCTTCCTGCCCCCCATTCACCCTCATCCCGGACCCCCTTTGCTCTCCACCATCCTTTGGGTGGGAACGCTTTTCCTGAGCAGAGTGCAATATTTTGCTGGCAGATGATGGGGCCTTGCTCCACCTTACACTGGGATCTGTGTAGTTCTGCTGTGGCACGGGGGGGGGGGGGGGGGGGCACAAAGGACAGCGCGATGGCGAATGCCTCGGGAGCACTGAAATACGAACAACCCCCCAGAAACCTAAAAGCGAGGGGTGGGGAACACGCTGGCAGCATCCCCCCAGCGCAGAGGGGGCCCTGATGGACGCTGCGGGGAGGACCCGGCCCCGCTCCGAGCGCTCTCCTCACCTCCAGCCCCCAGACCAGCAGCGTCTGCGCGCTCCCGGCGGGCGCCCGGAGCTCCACCAGCTCCGCCAAGCGGGGCCCTGCGAGCGCAGCCCCGGCACCAGACCTGCCCTGTCCAAGCCCCCTCAGCGCTGCCCCTGCGGCAGCTCGGGCCCGCATCCCCCCATTGACCAGACTCGCGTCGGCAGAAGCGTTTATTCTCCGCTTATCTTTACAGGGAGCAGGGCAGCCGCGGCCAGCGAGGGGCAGGAGCAGGGCGGAGCCGACCCCGCGCTCAGATGGGGCAATTCCCCTCCCCGTAGCGCCGGCACTTCATCACCTTCAGGTAGGTCTCCACCTTGTGCAGGTCCTTCTTGAAGCAGGACAGCAAGCCGTAGTTCTTCAGCAGCGCGTCCTCGGTGCGGAGGTGGATGTCGAACTTGTCGTAGGTGGGTTTGAGGATCTGGGGACCCCGCGGGCTCCGGTCCTCCAGCTCCTGCGGGAGGATGGAGAGGTGCCAGGGCATCAGCGTTCTCCAAGGGACCCATGGGTGAGGCTCCGGCTCGGCTTTTACAGGAGATTGGGACCTCCCCCCCGCCCCCCTCATCATATTTCAGACATACTTTTACGTGCTTACAGGCAGGGCAGTTGTGCGGGGGGATGCTATACAAATTGCTGGTAGGGAGAAGGGAGCTGGGCACAAGGCTGCAGGGAGAACAGAATGTGCCTTTTGGGATCTTAAGGGGAGCGCTGCAGGTCTCTCTGTGATTACTCTTGCCAAGGAGATGGGGAACCAGGCAAATAATTCTCTTTTTTCCCACTTTCCTAGTGAACAAAGCTCGAACCCAGATCCCAGCCACGTGCACCCAGAGGTGAGAGATCTGCCTCTCCTGCCCTGCTTTGCACACCTCTGACACAGGAAACAGATGCCTTTGGTTAAGTAAATGGTGTTATAAAGGGATGAAGTGTGGTTATTTGTCTGGTTTGTGTACGCTTTCCCAATGACCAAGCACATGTCAAATGGAGAGCAAAACCTGGAAGTGATACTCAGACATACACCCACTTACTCCAGCTGAATGCCAGGACAGGAGATCTCTCTTTGCTCTCAGGACCTGACTCTCAGAGCTATTTAGATGCTAGAAGGTGCTGAGTAATTGCCCAGCCTCATTCCTCACAGATACAGGTTTTGGAGCTCTAGGTCCGTGCACTGGCAGGTAACTTAGCTGTAGAGCAAGTGTAACTGAGCAATAATAAGCAATTTCACTTAAAACAACAAGGCAAAAGTGAAGAGTGACCCTTAAAGAACATCACTTGCCAGGTCTCTGTAATCTGGGTGCTGTATCCATGCTGTGAAAGAGCATGGACTTCCACCTGTACAGGCCGGTACAGGTTGTTTATACAGTGTCCCAAGTCTAAATGCAGAATTCACTCCATTTTGGAGCATTTTGCCTGGAGATGCAGCAAACTTTTTGTTGCTGGCTGTCCATCAGATTTAAGCAAACGCTAATTCTTTGGTGCTGGGTTTGGAAAGAGTGGGTCTGGCCTGTTGTGATCTGTACCGCTATCTGAACGGCAACAGCAGTGCTATTATCCTTTCATTTGTGGTTTCTTGTACTTCCCAGTGATGAACTGAATGCAGTAGGATGTCATGATCTCATCATTGTAAGGTAAATGAAGTCCAAAGGGTGCCACTGGTGTTCACAGGGGGAGGTGTGTGCTCTGTGTCTGGGAGGTCTTTGTTATTCTGTAGTCATGCTCCATGCTGTGACTTACCCTCATCAGAGCTTGGATCCCTTCTTCCAGGTCCTTTAGTTTTTCATACACTCGGTCTGAGGTGCCAAAAACCAGGTTGTTGGTGAACACCTTGCTTAGGTATTGCACTGGGCTCAGCCAGGACTGGATGAGAACCAGTGAGAACCGAAGCAGCTCCATGTCCTGGAATTAAGGAAAGAAAGGCTCAAAGCTGAAGAGTTTGGGAGCTCCCTGAGTCCCCTGAGGCAGCCCGGAGGTGAGCCAGGGATGTGCCACTGCTCCTGCAGCAGATGCAGGGAAACTTGCAAGCTGAGGAGCACCACCCGGACATGTCCTGTGCAGACAACGGCTTGCTCCTCATTCTTGGGGTGGGAATGTGATTTACGCATAACCCACAGGAGCCTTTCCTGCTTCATGCAGGGTTTAAACAGTGAAACAGGGAGAGGAGGCATGAAGCACTGAAGTGCTCCCAGATGGAAACCCTCTGTCCCTGGGCTGAGGCAGAGCTGAGCTCCTCACACAGGCCTGGCCTTGCCCTGGGGAGGAGAACTCACCGATTTCTGCTGAGCATCGTCCTTCCCCGTGGGAGCAGGGATGGTTTCTGAGTAACAAAATGCTGCCTGGGAGTTTTTGTTGGCGTGTCTTTGGTCCTCTGGGATATAGGTGCGTTCCTGCGGAGACATCCAAACACACCCAGCTCTGTTGCCTCTGGGCTGGTTGAAGACAAGAGGCACTTGCCCAGGCTCTGTTCAGGACAGCTCGCAGTTACTCTTTGCAAGGAGGAAAGGAGAGGTGTCTCTGTACAGGGGTGGCAGGTAGGGAGCAGGAGTTTCTGTGCTGGCCCAATAGCTACTGGACCTAAAGGTTTTCCTCACACTCACACTTCCTCATCACATCACCCCCAAGGGCAGCTCTTGCTCCTGGCAGCAGCAGGAACTGCATAGTTTTAAGCTCTCAGACTCACCCAGGGCCAAAGGTGACTGACACAGAAAGTCCTGCAAAGCATCTGTGCCACCTCCCACTGCTTCAGGGTCTCTTTGAGAGACCTCAGCCTGTGCAGCAGCTCTGGACATGGGGCTGATGGCCCTAAGGAGGAGGCTGTGCAGGATCAGAGGTGGAGACAGAGCCTGTCCTATCCTATTGAGACCCTTTCTTCTCATCAAGAGCTGATGGTTGAAAAGTCTCTGGCTCTAGGAGGAGTCCTGGAACCACCAAGCTAAAGTGGAGGAGGTGCCCGGAGGCCACAGAACTTACGAACTCTTTGTACGTCTCAGCAGCCAGGAGGTGAAGGTGCTGAGCCCTCAGCACAGCGTTGGCAAACAGGTTGGAAAGGGGCATGGCCGGGAAGGTGGCAGCTTCCTGTGGCCACTGCAGTCCCAGAGTGATCACAGCAAGGAAGAGAGGAGACAGCCAGGACCCTGCAGCAAAGCAGAGAGCTGGGGTGTTAGCAGCCCTTTAGTGACTGTGCTGAGGAGCAGGCTGGCCCTCGGTGATGGAGCCCCAGCCTCTTCTGCCCATGCTGCCCTAAAGGTTTTCAGCCTGTGCCATCCACTCACACAAGTGTCCATCTGTGCCTGCAAAGACCCCAGAGTTCCTCAGACAAATGCCCTGGAGCCTGTAGGACTTGGATGCACACATCAGTCGTTACCCTGATCCCCACTTTGAGCTCTGAGTATGAGTTTTAATAGTCCTGCCAACGCTTATCTTAATGATAACTGTTATAACTGCATCTTGACCTTGTTCTTCATGTTCTCCACCCTCTCCTGGTCCAGTTTAGGCCAAAGACTACCTGAGTTAATTAATGGATTAAAGTGGCACTGTGGGGAAAAGTATCCTTTCTCGTTGATTTATAAGTTGCCACATTTTCATTTAAGGCTGGCACTGAGTGTGTATAGCACAAGCACAGTGCCATCATCCTCATCATCATCTTCCTCATCATCTCCCCTCATCCAGGGATGGGGCAGCCACAGCTTCTCTGGGCACCCTGTGCCAGCGCCTCAGCACCCTCACAGGGAAGAGCTTGTGCCTAAGAGCTCAGCTCAGTCTCCCCTCGGGCAGGTTCAAGCCATTCCCCTTGGCCTGTCCCTACAGGCCCTTGTCCCAAGCCCCTCTCCAGGTTTCCTGGAGCCCCTTTAGGCACTGGAGCTGCTCTGAGGTCTTCAGAACTGAAATAAAGTACCTGGAGCCATTGCTGCCCGGTTCGTTGCTCAGGTGCTGCTTGGCAGTCAAGGTTTCCTCCTTTCATGTAGGCTGACGAAGGCCACTATTGAGCCATCCCTTATATAGCAGGGGTCTGTTTAAAATGTATATGTGTGTCATGACCACAACAACATATCTGCATCTTCTGTGTGCATAAATGCACAAGTGTTCGCAATGGTGCTCCCTAATCACAGTCATTTATACAGAGATGGAAAGGTTGGGGAGGTTGTTTGCCTGGGTATGATTTTGCCATATTCCATTGTTTATTACAAATAAAGGTTTCTTCATCACAGGAAGACCCATCGCAAAATTACATCAGTGCTTTCACACGGGGGACCTTGCTGTGTCCGCCCGGTTTCCCTGCCTGCCACTGCAGCCTTGGCAGGGCTGGTGGGCCACTTTGGGAGATGTGACTTGAATCAGGTGGGACCTTTTCCCCCACATAGTGAGCAGGGATGGATGTTATCAGTGAGGTGAATCCTGTTCCTGCCAAGTCATTTCTTTCCATTTCTACCAAAACTAAAGGTTCAGTGAATCATTTTGGTGACCTGGTTTGCCATGGGGGTGGTAAACTGCTGTCAGAGCCAGCTTCCAGCCTGCCTGCTGCAGATCCAGCTGCCAGAGCTCTGGGAGGTTTCTTGTCCTCAGCTGGACCTCGTTATGAGCATCCTCCTGCTCTTGTCTGAGATGCAAACATGAAATATCTCTGGATTGAGCAGGGGGCTGGTGTGGGAAGGAGGTGGAGAGATGGGGAAGGGGACACAGGCAAGAGGAGAGGTCAGTGCACACCTATCCCTGCGTCTGATCAAACCTGGGACGGGCAGCTCCAGGGGCGGCTTAAAGGATTTTTCCCCTGCAAAAGGCACCAATTGCCTCTCAAGCCAGGCTGTTTCAGGCCTTTGCCCTAGGCTCAGGGATGGTTCCCTGGTCACGGTGGTGATGTGGCTCCCCCAGGCCCTGGGTTTCCTGTGCCCCCAGCACGGCTCCAGTTTCCCGGAGGCAGCAGCATCACTGGGGCAGAGGGTGCAAGAGCTGGTTAATAAACATGCCAGGAGAGCGTGGCCTGTTCCAAGAAGCCCCCGGGTGTTTGCTCACTGGAGACGTGGTGCTGTCGCAGGGTAAATGTCAGTCCGTGGTGCAGAGGGAACAGTGGGTCCTGCAGCTATCAGGTGTCCGTCACCCAATAGCAGCAACATCTGGGGGTGTTTTTCTCCTCCAGATCCTGTTTAAATATGGCAATATTTGTCAGAGGAGAGCAGGGCAGCAGGTACCCCAGCCCAGCACCGCCTCAGCTGCCTCTGCAGGATGATGCTCTACTGCTGCCGCTGCATTGGTGCAGCACCAGGGACCCGAGTCCTGCCCCTCACTTGCTGCCCTGCTGCTCTCTCAGTACAAGCATGGTGCTAAATCACAGAATCCCAGCCTGGTTTGAGCTGGAAGGGACCTTAAAGCTCCTCCAGTTCCAACCCCTGCCGTGGCCAGGGTTGCAGCCAAGCAATGATCCACAATGCAACCAGGATGGTTGAGCCTGTCCGGTGCCCCTGAGGCTCAGTTTGTTCCCAGTCTTCTCTGGGCATTAAATGAGGCAGAAGTGCTGTGGAGAAAGTAGTGCCACTGGGAAGTGCTGGGCTGGGCACGCACAGGCTACTGGCACAACTACAGTTGCATCAGCAGCTCTTGGATACCAGCTCGGCATGCTTTAGTGTTTCATTTGTGGCCCGAAGCAGCATCTCATAAAGCAGTGTGACACTCTGTGCTTTTCCAAGCCCCTTTTCTTCTCTGGGACAGAAAAAACCCTCAGTTGTCTTCAGGGTGGTCCCATGTCCTCCAGCCCAGCACCGCTCACTGGGAGTGAGTGAACAAGCTGTGTGGCTGGGTTTAAACCACGACACTTACCTTGAGCATCACCAGCAGCATCTGAGCAAGTGAAGCAGCTTTTCACCTTTTGGGGTGTGGAGAAGTCTATGGCTGCTCTTGGCTCTGCCTCCCAGCCTGCGCTCAGGGCCCTCAGGGGTGAGGTTTGGGTTCCAGCTGAACTGGACCCACGGGAAGCTGCTCCTTATTCCCAGGGCACTGACACTGGCACCAGGGCTGTGGGACAGGCACAGACTGGGCACGGCGGGAGGGAGCAGGATGGGAATTTACCCATGACCTTTATTAGGACTCAGGAAGCAGTTGAGCAGTTGTGTCCCACAGTGCACGTCTGTCCCATCGGTTCTGAGGTCGCACGGGTCCCTCAGTGCGGGGACATCTTCGTGCCACGGACCAGCTCTTGAGAGCTGCATCCCCACCTTTTCCTGTAGTCTTTGGGGAGAATGAGGTGGGGTTGGAGGATCCTCCCCCTCCGACAGCTGCTGGGCACAGCCATGGCTGGAAAGGTGGCCCCAAATCCTCTTCCATCATCCACATGGGGCTGCTCACCTTGGCTCCTCTGCCAGGGCTGCAGTCTGGTTTCACAAGCCAGGAGGGTCCTTGCAGCACACAGTGACCATGGCTGGTCCTATCCTTCCCTTCCCAGGGGTGGTGGGGCTGGAGGAGACCCCCACCCACCGTGGGGCTTGCGTGGCATTGCCCATGCAGGAGCTCGGTGCTGGTGTGGGTCTGCCGGGGCTTGGGGCCAGGTTGGTACTGGGGGGGTTGCAGGGGGCTCCTAATTTCTACAGGGGCTTTAGGGGTGTAGCAGGGCCTGGGCTCTGTGCAGGGATGCCGGAGGTGGTTTGTAACCAGGGACCACAGCCTGGGATCCAGGCACCCATCAGAGCTGTGGTCCAGGGCAGGAGCTGGGGCCAGTCCCTGTGGATGCTGGCGCTGGGTGCAGGACCCCTCACTCTTGTCCTGGGTGCTCCCCAACTGTCCACTTGGCCTTCACGTCCCGGAAGGGGGTGATGTCCTCGTAGGTGGCCATCTGCTCCACCTCCAGGCCCTGCAGCAAGAGAGGGGCTGAGACGTGGCAGGGGGCCATGGCTTCACCCACAGTGCATGGAACCATGGCATCAACCAGGCTGGAAAAGACCTCTCAGCTCATCCAGCCCAGCCATTCCCCAGCACTGCCAAGGCCACCATTAACCCATGGCACTGAGGGCCTCGGCTACGTGGTTTGTGAGCCCTTTGGGACCCATGTCCAGGGTGTTCCCCCAGAGGCTGGGGCAGCTTCTGAGAGGGGATGGGGGTAGATGCTGGATGCGCTCAGAGCATGCCTTGGTTTTATGAGCAGCTCTTTACAGCTGATGTGCAACAGGCGTTGGGAAGGAAAATGTCCTGATGTGCCCTGCAGGGGCTGGTGGTGCCCATCAGGCACCAGCAAAGGCACGAGGCTCTCTCAGGGCTCAGGCTGATATTGCAGAGGTGCTTCTCTAATGAATGCAGCATTACCTCGTAGGTGTGGTCCTCCTCCAGGCTTTCCTTGCCTTCGCCCTGTGGGGACGAGAGTCACAGGTTGGGTGTCAGCACCCACCAGGGTCCCCCATCCCCTGTCCCCAGCCTCGTCCCCCCACTTCCACAGGCAAACCCCCACAGTCCCACACTGGTTTAGATGCTTGTTTTCCCGCTTGAGGTAGCCACGCTCCCATGGAGCACCCCAAACCCAGCCCTGCTCACCCCTGTCCATAGCAGCATCCTGCCCGGGATGCAGGACACTGCTGTGAGCACTGTGGGGACATCCCCACTGCTGGAGATGCTGCTGCTTACTTTATTGAGGAAGAGGAGTATGGGGACGCTGATGAAGACGACAAGCAGGATGGACTGGATGATGATGATGGCGTCCTTCAGGGTGTTCCTGCTCTGCACCTGCCGGATGTTGCTGTGACCTGGGAGCGACAGCACAGGGATAGCTCCAAGCTCCACCTCCAAGTGTCAGATGGGGGACAGGGGTGACCAGCTCTCCCCACTGGGACAGACCAGAACATTGCAAACCGCCATCAGGGACCAGCTCTGGGGTGAGACACCTCGGGCAGGACCCACCCCTCGCCATGGAGGGGGAAAGGGGGAGAGAAGGAGAAGGAGCATGGCTTGGGGTGCAGAGGATGGGGAGCTCCCACTCACTCAGGACCTTGAGCTGTGTCCCGCAGTCGTGCGGCCGCTGCTGCGCTGTGAGGTTCTTCCTGTCACAGACGTAGATGCCGTTGTCCTCGTAGGTGGTGCTGGAGATGGTGAAGCTGGTGAAGTTCTCTGTTGTCTGGATGCTGTAGCGGGGGGTGCTGGTGCTCAGCTCCTGGAAGTCGTCGCTGCCCTCCGCCAGCTTGTACCACTGGATGCTGTGGGGCTCCTCGAAGTAGCAGATGAACTGGATGGGGGTGTTCCTCTTGGCCCCCACAAAGCGTGGGTACTGCCTCACCGTGATGCACCCGCTGTCTGCCGGGGGCAAGGGGGTCATGGAGAGCAGGGCCCCTGCCCCTGGGGGGCATCTTGCTCCCATGAGACGCCCCCAGCATCTCCCAGCTCAACAGCTTCTCACTGCTATGGATTACGCTGCTTTCAACAGAGCTTGGCTCTGGTGATGCGAGCACTTGTGATTTTGCTGGTTTGTGGGTTTATCTGGTATTTGGGCTTGCAGAGTTTGTGCTGACCCCCCCGCGGGTGGCAACGACACCAACACTGTGTGATGGCTGCAGTGCCTGCTCACACAGCGCGCTCTGAGAGCACAGGGACGAGACGTGGGAGGACAGAGCTGATGTGGCTCTGCAGAGGGAGCAGGGCTGGGGGATGGCACCGAGGAGCCTGCAGCCTGGGAACTGCCTCTGCGACGGAGAAGGGACATCTCCCACCCCTTCCTGGCATCCAGTGGGAATGGGAGGGACACGTGGGGATGGTTACCTGGGCTGTTCCAGGTGCTGTTGTCTGCTGAGATCCCACCTGCAAAACAGGAGATGGGCTCTGAGATAGAGGCCAGGAGCCCACACAGGACAAGCCCGTGCAGGTGTCCCACATGGGATGGCATGTACCATGGCCCTTCATTCCCACTCCATGCTGCATGGAGTGCTTGGGACCATCAACCCAGGGCACCGGGCAGCGCAGAATTGGGTACAAACCCTTCTATTTCCACCCCGTATCCTGCATCTCTAACTAAGCTGCTTTCCGGTTGACATCCCAGTGAAACCTGCCTTTGCTGTTAACGTCCCCATGCCTGGCACCCCCCCCCCCACAGACTCACACCTCTTTATTTACAGCAGAAACGTTTTCCCTGCTGGGACTTCCCTGTCCTTGCAGCCCTGGGACGTCTGAGGGGGGTCCTTTCCCCCTGGCGCCATGCACCCCCCCCGGGATGAGTCTGGATGGAGCTGTGGGGCCTGCAATGCAGTGCAGGAAATGGGGCGAGGCGGGGACACCCCAGCACCCATGGGTGCCCCTGCCACAGCCCCAGCGCCCCTGTGCCTCGGTTCCTCTTGCTGCAGCTGTGCAGGAAGCACCAGCCCTGTTTACTGCAGCGCTTCAGTGCCCAGCTCCATCCCTGAGACCACGGCTGGCCAAACCCTGCTGGGGGGGAGGCTGGACCGGCCCTGGGTGGAGGGGAGGGAAGGGAGAAGGAAGGAGAAGGAAGATTCGATGCCTTTGCCCCAAGCCTTCCCACCCTGCTGCCGCCTCCAGTCCCCAGGCAGCAGCCCCCCACAGGGACCTCTTCCAGGTCCGTGCTGGTCACCTCCAGCACCCGCACCCCTGCAGGGAAACTGCCCCCCCCAGCCCCATTTCGTCTCTTTCTGAGCTGGGAGATGCTCCTCGTCCGGGCTGTGCCGGGTGCACGTCCCTGCCGCCTGCAGTGCTGCTGCCAGCCCAACACCGGCTCTTGCTCGCCGTGGGGTCTCCAAGTGCAGACCAGGCTGGTCCCTCCTCCTGAGAACGCTCCCACCCCTCAGCGCCTGGAAGGTCCTGTCCATGGGATGGGGATGGGGATGGAGCAGGATGAGCGTTAATGTCCCTTCAACCCAAACCAGGTCGTGGTTCTATGGTCCCCATTGCAGCCATGGGTGGGCTGAGCTTCCCCTGTCCTCCCTCAAAGCCAACATGAGAGCCAGGATGAAACCCTGGGATTCCAATCTATGCATGGGATGCAAAGGGGAACTGCACAGGGATGTTCACACAGGGCCTGCAGATCAGCCCAAAAAACCTTTTTCCTCCCATTTCTCCTTCACTCCCATGTTGCAAAGGGATGGGGTTTGCCGTGGCCTCAGCGATGTGCTGACCTGAGAGCAAGGAGTGGTGAAAACCACCCCAGAACCCTTCCTCTTTCCTGCCAGCTGCAACCACAGCTCGGGCCGGGCTCCAGCCAAAGCCAAGTGGCTGCCCCAAGGGTCCCATCCCTGCACCCAGCGGGAAGCAGCCCCCAGAGCCCAAGTTCAGTGCATGTCGAGCAGAGCTGGGTGAAGCCCTCCTTGCACCGAGCAAGGGACGGCGCCGGTGCATCGCGGGTGCATGCACAGCCGCTGTGTCGAGCACCTACCTGTGAGCAGAGCCATCGCCCAGAGGTTCAGCTGGAGCACCCAGAGCCTGCTGCAGACATCAGCCATCTCCCACTGCCAACAGCAGGGACACATCCAGCCCTGGCTCTTGCTCCTGTGGACCCGGTCCGGCCGGCTCGGCCTCTGTACCTAAAAATGGTAAAGCTGCTGCTACACGAGACAGCCCCTTTCCTGCTCATGTAAATGCTCCTCAATGGGGACTTTCCCCTTGGGGATGGTTTTGAATGTGACACAGACACTGGGGCCACCGGGGCCTGCGCCCTGGGCACCGTCCAGCCTCGTGTCCCTGGGCTGTGCTTGCCATGAAGGCGGCCACGACTGGGTTGGGTCTGGACCAGAACTGGAGAGGAGCCCATCTGCAAAGCACTCGGTGGTGCAAAACCTGGGCTGAGCACAGGGGATGGGCCCGGGAAGCGGGATGTGACCATTGCACTGCCACATCCCTGCGGGGTAGAGGATGGGGGTGACCCCAGAGTTGCACCCCAGCTCCATGGCAAGGGGAGATCCCCCTGGGGCATTCAGTGCTGCAGGTGATGGGCAGGGGTTGATACTGGCCCATTTGGAGCAGGAATGAGGTGGGAAGAGGGAATGCTTGTGCTCGTTGTGGGGATCAGTGTGATCAGTGTCCCACTTCCCATCCCTGTATTTGTCCTTGCAGGGAAGGGTGAAATCTGGGGTTGGAGAGGGGTGGCCAAAATGAGGTGCCCCCTCCCTGGGTCCCAGCCGTGCCTGCTCCTTCCCCGTACCCTGTTTGCCACAACCGGGACCCTTCGGAGATGGGCAGTCCCTGGGGAAGCGGGGGGTGACAGCCCAAGGTGAGCTCTGCCCCAGGAACACGGTTCCCCTCCGTGCTGTGAGCACTGAACTGTGCCTGCCTGGGAAAAACACCCTCGGCTCCTCCTCCCGGCAGCGCTGGTCCCCAGAGCCCAGCTCCCTGCCTGGGCCCCCCCCAGCGCTGCTGCTGCTGCTGTGCTTCTGGTGGGGTTTTTGCCAGCTCTGAGCTATCAGAGCTGCTGGGAGCCAGCCCCAGCCTCACCTGGTGCGCAGGGGGACGTGAAGCCAGGAGACAGAAAGGGTTCTAGAGAAAGGCTGGTCCCAGGAGGGAAAGAGATGATGGGAGAGGTGCCTCCTGGCAGAGCTCCTAGGTGGTGCTGTGCATGGGCTCTGCTGCCATCACCCCTGGTCCTGCTGGAGCAGCACAGCCTCCTGTGACAACCTGCAAGGCAAAAGCAGCAAGGGATGCTCCGTGCCCAGAGGCACTGGGGGGTTGCATCAAGCCCCAGCAGGAGATGGGAGCTGTGACAGGAATGCCTGGGACAAACTAAAGAGGGTTTGCAGTGACAGTGACAGCCAGGTTACCCCTGCACAGCCTGCAGGCTCCTTGGTGCCCTTAGACCGAGACCTGGTCCAGGCAGCCTTGGTCTCTCCTTGCAGTACTCAGTGGTAGGGGACCTGGTGGTCTCACAGGGATGGCCCTGTGTCCTTCCTCAGGGCCACCAGCACACAGCCCATGGCCAGATCAAGCCCTGTGGGCAGCACAGAGCTGCTGCCAGGCAGCTGCACCCTTCCCCAGCCCATTCCTATTCATCAGGGCTCCGGTTTCAGTGCTGTCCTTTCCCCCTCCGCCAGAGGACAGGGACAGTGAGCAGTGCCCCCTCCTCCCTCCAGCCCTGGTACCACGATGCTCTCACTCGAATGATGCCAGCCCCGGACGAGCTGTTCCAGGCAGGACAAGAACACAGCAGCGAGGCCAGGCCATGGCCCTGGGGACGTCAGCGGGTCCTGGGGCACATCCTGCTCCAGCTGCACATTGACACAGAAACCGCCTTCTCCCCATGGTGATGAGCTGCTCCTGTGTGGTCGTGGGGCAGGTTTGGCCCCACAGAGCCTGGCATGGGGCACCTCAGGGAGTCCTCACCTCTTCCAAACCCACCTCTCTCCTTGGCTGAGCCTGAAGCAGCATCTCCTGTGGGGGCTAGAGCGAGGGCAGGGACTCCTTCAATCAGACCAGGTTGCTCCAAGCCCTGTCCAGCCTGGCTTTGAACCAACTCTGGTGTCTGCCCCGGTGGGAGGCTTTCTGTGCAGGATGGGACCACCAGATCCTGCTCAGGATGGCAGCCAAGGCCATGCCCAGGGGCTCCTTTTGTCTGCCCTGGAGCAAAGGGAAGGGGACATTCCCCCTCTAACACACACCAGTGCAGTTTGTATTGTAATAATAGACCATTTACAGTTGTTTATTTTAAGAAATGTACAAAGAAAAAGGCTTTATCTCACACAAATCCTGCTCTTGGGCATTTTTCCCATCACTGACAACACAAACGTACAAGCAGCATTGATTGTGAGCCACAATCCGGGCTGGAAACCGCTGTGCCATGGATGCTTCCCATGCAAACACCATCTAAAGCAGCTCAGGCTCCTATTCCAGGGAGCATCACCCTATGCAACATGGAAATGGAATAACAACACTATGAGATGAACAGAGCAACCCCGGCTCTGCCACCCAGCCAACAGCACATGGATGCAAAGCAAGCTCAGCACCGCTCCTGGCCAGCCTGAACATGGGGCATCCGAAAAGGCTCAGCGCCAAAGCAGCCCGAGCAAAACTCATTCTACAATGACAGAAAAAGACAGACCCTTTGGCTTTAAGAAGCAGCCCTTGTTTTGTCTGGAAGAGGTTTTGGTTCATGTTGGTTTTGATCTCAAGAGGGTTTCTTTCCCCTTTTGGAGGCAGGAAAAGGTCCAGAGATGAACTGAAGAGCAGCAAAACCCTTTCGCTTGGGGAAAAAGCTCCTCTGCTGGTGAGGACCTGCCTGGCCCCTCTGCACAGAGCCCAGCACGTGCCCCTGGGTCCCCTCTGGAGCCCCAGCCACGTGAAGGATGCTGTGCCCGGGTACTGGGGGATTTACACCCTGGTGGGAGCATTCAGCGCATGAAGGCCCCTGGTGCTCGGTGGGATTTAAGGGATCCCATTGAAGCAGCTCCTTGCCAGGACCATTCAAGCACCTTCTCCATTCCCTGGGGATGTCTTGTTAATTAGCACTAACCAAGAGCGCTCCAGTGGGATATTTCCTCCTGCTATGGGGCTTGAAGCAACCCCAGAGGGTTTTGTTACGGGGACTGGGGTTCTTGGAGCAGGTTTTCCAAGCCCTACCTTTGTCCATGGCTTTGCCACCACAAAACCTGGATGAAAGGGGAAAACAAGGAGGAAGCATGACTATAAACACTGTTTACATTCGTACTGTAGAGACCCGAGTGATTTAGGATTTCAATGCATATTCAGAGACCTTTAAAACCTGATAGTTAACCCTGAGAACATACCTGCAGATGCTCTGTTTTGGCTATGCAAACAAATCTTTAAGACATAATTGCACTTTCTCTGTATATAACAAAAGAAATAATCCATCAAGCTTATTCAAATATCCAAAAGAAAGGTGCTACTTTAAGACATTGGAGATTTTTTGTTCACAAAACCTTGTCTTTTCTGTAATTATTCTTAATATTATTTCACTTGGCTCATCTTTCACCGGCCGCTCGGCTGCTCTTTGGAAGGATAATGTCCAAGAAAACATCCTGATTGTGAAATAACATCAATAAATAATCACATGAAGTCAAAGGAGAGCCATCCTCACTTGTTTGTGTCTGAAAACCATCGTTACCACGCTGAGATCATTTCCAAACTCAACTGTTTCCCTTTCACCAACAAGAGATTGCACACGTCACTCTCATCGAAGAACATTGAACTGGTTGCAAGTGCAGTGAGCTGGAAAGCCCAGAGCAGTGCGAGGCCCTGCTCCGAGAGCTAAGGTGGCTTCTTGAAACATCTGAACTCAGCTCAGTCTCTAAGATCTAGTGATCTGTACATGGGAGAGCTCTGGAGGAGGAGATACAAACAGAGCCTCTTGAGGCTGGGCGAGGGACGGAAGCCTCTCTCTGTTACACCAGCGACTCTTTCACAACACGTTCCTTATCCCATGCTTTTGCTTCTTCGGGAGCACCTTGCGTCTCTGAGCCGGGAATGGGCTCCAGACTGAAGGCAGGAGCTGCCTCCACGTCTGCCCCACTGTTCCCATACATCTCGTGCATTTTGGTGGCGATCAGCCCCTCCTTCTCGGGTGCATCCTCGGTCAAGGCATCTTCATCCTTGCTGTGCCTGTACATGTAGGATGCCTGCTTCACCGAGCGCCTCAGGAGGTACCTCCGGAAAGCCCGCTGGATTTTCGTAGCACAGACTTCCTCGTGCTTCCTCTTCAGAGTGGTGGTGATGGGTTCATAGGAAACCTTCGAGGGGTTTGCGGCCATGAACTTCTCCTCCATGGTGGCCTTCAAGGCATCCATCTCTCCCGAGTCTCCCAGCACTTCCTTAGTTAGGGCAAAGAGGATATCCAGACAGTGGATTTTGTCCCCAGCAACCATTGGTAGGTCCATGGTGACTAGCTTGATCTTGTTGGGCTTGGGAATTCTGAGTGGCTCCTGTAAGGTGTCCACAAAGTCAGACAAGGTGCTGTACGCAATGAACTGGGTGGCATCAGGGTCAAACTTCTCCCAGATTTCATAGAACATTTCAAAATCATCTTCACAGAGGGGTTCACTGCTCTCCTCCGTGGCCACGCTGAAGTTCTCCAGGATGATGGCGATGTACATGTTCACCACGATGAGGAAGGAGATGATGATGTAGCTGCAGAAGAAGAAGATGCCGATGGACGGATTGCCACAGTCCCCTTTCACTGAACTGCCAGGGTTTTCCAGGTCGGGGTCGCAGTCAGGGGGGCCGCTGTTGAGGATGGGGCTGAGGAGGCCGTCCCATCCTGCTGACGTGGTGATCTGGAAGAGGCAGATGATGCTGTTTCCAAAAGTCTCAAAGTTGAAGATGTCATCGATCCCCGCCTCCTTCTTCACATAAGCGAAGTTGGACATCCCGAAGATGGAGTAGATGAACATGACAAGGAAAAGCAGGAGGCCGATGTTGAACAGGGCAGGCAGGGACATCATCAGAGCAAAGAGGAGAGTCCGGATGCCTTTTGCCCCTCGGATCAGCCGGAGGACGCGGCCAATCCTCGCCAGCCTGATGACCCTGAAGAGAGTGGGTGACACGAAATACTTCTCTATGATGTCTGAGAGGACGATACCTGTGAAGGGATGAAGAAGACGTGAGTTTGCCGTGCT